AAGACGTTTGACATAAGCCTCACAGCCCCAAATCTTTAAGTGTGACAGAACCGGGCATTTGCCCGTCCATAGCTGGTATGGTGTTCCTTCAACCGCCTTGGTTGGAACTCGGTTAAGAGTATATATTGCAGTGCTCAGCGCATACCCCCAGAATGATTCTGGTAGAGTCGAATGACCCATCATAGAACGAACCATGTCAAGCAGGGTTCGATTCCTCCTTTCAGAGACACCATTCCATTGTGGAGTCCCAAGAGGTGTGAGTTGGGATAAAATCCCATGCTCTCTAAGATAGTCATCGAACTCACCACTTAAGTATTCTCCACCTCGATCGGATCGTAGTGTTTTAATACTTTTGCCAAGTTGTTTTTCAACTTCATTCCTGAATTCTTTGAACATTTCAAAGGATTCTGATTTGTGTTTCATGAGATAAACATAGCCATATCTACTGAGGTCATCAGTAAAAGTGATGAAGTATGAATAACCACCTCGTGCAGTTGTATTGAAAGGCCCGCACACATCACTATGAATGAGTGCCAGAAGATCACCAGCTCTTTCACCGTGTCCGGTGAAAGGAGATTTGGTCATCTTACCCAATAAAGAAGATTCGCATGTGTCATATGATTCAAGATCAAATGACTCCAGCATTCCCGACCGATGTAGCTTGGATATGCGTTTCTCGTTTATATGGCCTAACCTACAATGCCATAGCTATGTTTGGTTCAAACCGTTCGGTTTGTTCCTCTTGGCTGATATGTTATAGACAGGCATGTCCAAGTCAAGGACATATAACCCATTGGTCATGTTGGCATTAGCATAGAAAACATTCTTTCTGTAAACGGAAAGGGACCTGTCTTTAATAGAAATGATGAAACCACTCTTACCAAGACATGAAACAGAAATAATGTTTCTGCTAATTGCAGGAACGTACAAGCAATCGTTTAATTCCAACATTAGACCACTAGGCAAGACTAAACTATAAGTTCCGATTGCCAAAGCTGCAACAGGTGCACCATTGCCGACTCGGAGTTCAATCTCGCCTCGAGCTAACCGTCTACTCTGCTTCAGTCCCTGCATGGTAGTACAGATATGAGACCCACATCCAGTATCTAGTACCCATGATGAAGATATAGACATGTTAACTTCTATAACATACACCTCAGAAGAAATGGTCGTACCTTCCTTCTTCTTGGTTGCGAGGTATGTCTTGCAGTTTCTTCTCCAGTGGCCTGCCTTACCACAGTGATGACATTTGCCCTTTGCAACTCCTCCTATGGGTTTCTGGGTTGCAGATGAAGTGGACTTCGATTTAGGCTTTCCGACCGTCCTAGCCTTAATCTTAATCCCCTTCTTCGGCTTCCCCTTTCCGCCTTGGACCATAAGGACGGAAGCACCCTTGCCCTTAGTAAGGTTCTCCTCTGCAGTCTGGAGCATTTTAAGAAGCTCCGGAAG